CTGGAAGTGTTCAAAAAACTTGTGGATGTAGTGCTTCGGGACATGGTTGAGGGGACATGGGGGTGTTGGGTTAACAGTTGGACTTGATCTTGAAGGTCCTTTCCAACCTTAATGATTCTGTGATTCTGTGAAAATGAACACCCCTGCTTAAATATGGTATTGCTCTGAAATGTTTGCAATCTGGTACATTAATGCTGCTTCTGCATTTCAAGAAAATAAAGACTCTAAAAATGGTCTTCTACTTGAGAACTGCAAATTTTACTAATTGTATTAGAATTATATTTTTAGAACTGCAAATTATTTAATCATAAATAAATAACTGAAATACAAATACATTAAAACATGCTAAAATGCATAAATATGCATAGATGAGCAATAATTTTAGATAATTTAACTGCAAGTACATTGAATACAATATTATTTGAATTTTGTATTATGTCAGAGGTGGTTTGAGTTTAAGTTAGGTTGGATTATATGCAGGAGACTTTTTTGGAGTGAGCTGTGTCACTTCTTATACCTTGTTATTTATTATGAGGAACAAGGTTCCTACTTCTGATACACAGACCTCTGCAGGGATAAGAGTGAGCTCAGGAAAGTTTTTAAAAGTTTACATGCTTTTCAGAAATCTTGCTGATTCACACAGGCCTGTGGAATCCATTTAGAGACCACATCAGAAGGCATTTTCTCATGCTTTGGCTGGTGGTCAAGTATGGGAAGTACTTGAGTTCAGTGAGGGAGAAAGTATTGTGGATAAGTTTTCCAGGTGAGGCTGCCAAACTTCCCAAAACAGTTTTGATAGCAGCAGAGAATGGGGTTTGTTTTGAATGCCAAGCAAAATGTTTGTCATGATACAGACTTCATGAGCAGCGCTGTGCTGAGTCCGCTTTGCTGAGTTATTGTTTCCTGTGTTTCAGGAGAGGAAGTTTGTTGGGGGCTCTGGCCAGATCAGTGAGAAAATAATGGAGCGCCTGGGAGGCCGGGTGAAGCTGAGGAAGCCCGTCGTCCGCATCGACCAGTCGGGTGAAAATGTCATAGTGGAAACCTTAGATCATGAACTATATGAGGTAATCAAACCTCTAACATTTAAGCAACTGTTTGTGCTGGGATGGCTAGAAAGCCTTTTGCTTTTCCTTTTTCCGAAATCCTGTACCAAAAATTTTACAGAGGTTTAAGTGACTCTGACAGAAAATCACACTTTCTGATTGTCCCGAAGTAATAGCAATGATAGAGCTTTGAAGTGATGCCTGAAAAGCAAAGCGTGTATTCAGGCTCTTCCTTTGCTAACATCTCTTCTTTGTGTTGTTACCTTGCGAATTAAAGGATAATTGTAAGATGAGCACAAAAACATAGCTTTGTAATAAGCTTTCTGTGAAAAACATTGCAGGCTTTGCTTCCAGGTTGTAATGGAGGAGTCCAGATGGAAGGGAGACTAATGGACTCTTACAACACAGCTTTTTTTTTTTTTTTTTTTTAAAAAGCACTGGGTAAAGAGCAGCTGCCCATCATTCGAACAGATGGCTGTTTATATAATGCTTGCTTGTTGTTTAACAAGCAGGATTTTGTGAGGGTTCAGTTTTGCAATTCTTATGCTAAACGGCAGAATTGCTTCAGAAGATACACCCTGCAGCCTCCCCAGATGTCTACCAAGATCATTAGAGCAATATAATTAGGATGAAGTAGTGGAGAATGTATTTGGCTTATGTATAATTTCTTTTCCAGGGCAAGTATGTGATCAGTGCCATTCCCCCAGCTCTTGGTTTGAAGATTCATTTCAACCCACCTTTGCCCTCAATGAGAAACCAGCTCATCAACCGAATCCCCATGGGCTCAGTCATCAAGTGCATTGTGTACTATAAGGAAACTTTCTGGAGGAAGAAGGGTATTACATTTTAGTTGAAAGGAATAATAGTGACAGAGAGGGAAGAGGGTACATGATAATGGAGTAGACTTTGTGTTGAGAGGGTGTTGGACCTTAGAAGGAGACTTAATACACTTCTATGCCATTCTTGCCTTCCCCTGTTTGAGAAACTTGAGAGATCAGTTGGGAAGAGAGGGTGGATGGGGGAATAAAAAGAAGGAGGTAGGCATGAAGGGAGAACTCATGCCTGCTGCTTATGTTGTTCTTTGTTGTCCTCCCTTTTCGTTCAGTGGCACCTGGGTATGTGATGAATCTCCCACTTGTAAAGTAATGTAAAGGTATAAGTGATGTGTGATGGAAAGAGGTTTTATCCCATCATTTATCAGCTTGCAAAAATTCTGCCTTCTGAATGCACTGGGCAGGATTAATTGAAGGTGTCCTCATATAAACATCCTCATCTGGGCTAGTCATCCTGGACTCCCTTTACATGCTGAGTACTTCCATCGTGACTCCACAGCTCTCTTTTAGAACTTACCGAATTTAAGACAAGCTGCAATGTAATAGCACCTATTTCTCATCACTGGTTGTAATGAGTCCACATCTGTGTTTGTCTACAAATGTCATCCACCCTTCATCTTTGTGAATGATTTTAAGAGTTCTGGATCCTGGCTATTCTAGCTATTAGGTTTGGGATGGATTGGCAAGAAGTGACTCCTATTTCCTGATAGAACCCATAGTTTGCGTACTGTGCTTTGCTAACGCCATTGTTCTTCTTTTAAGAACAAACTATTTTCTTCAAACCCTTCTTTTAAGAACAATTGTGTTTTCAAAACAATGAACGAATATCTCCTGTCAGACATAAATGTCATATGTGGAAACTACTGTGGTAGAGGCACTTGAACATCTTCAGTATCTGAGAGGAATCTGTTTCCGTGCAATTAATAATTGCCTTGCTAACTGGATTGCAGAATACTTTATTTTTCTATAATGAATTCAACAATAGGAGATTCCTTTATTGACTTTCTGGTTTAAAGATGCTTGAAATGGATTGTTAATTGTCAGCACATCTCAGATCTAAGCTTTCTTTTCTAGAGAGGATATAGCACTTCTGACTCACGCAAACACTACACTACACTGCCTTGCAGATCAGCAAGGGGCCTGTGTGCTTATCTTTGTCATTTGATGGGGGTCACTTTACTTGTGTGTTTTATTCTCCTTTCCTTTGTTTTCATATGTCCCTGAATTAGAATCATAGAATCGGGGAATGATAGAGATTGGGAGGGGCCTCTGGATGTCATCTAGTCCCATGACCTCTGGATGTCATCTAGTCATCTTGCTCAAAGCAGGGTGAATTTAGATCAGGTTGTTTAGGGCTTTTTCCAGTCACGTTCTGAGTATTTCACAACTTCTTGGAAGCTCATTCCTGTGTTTGGATACATGGATCCTAACCTTTTTTCTTTTCTTTTCTTTTTTTTTTTTCCTTTTCCACCTTGTGCTTAACAGGGTATTGTGGTACCATGATCATTGAAGATGAAGATGCTGCAATTGGTTTAACCCTTGACGATACTAAGCCTGATGGCAGTTTTCCTGCCATAATAGGGTAAGAGACAAAGAAAGTGTCTAGTTGATGCTTTTTTAATTTTCTCTTAGAGGCAACAATTAAAACAGAAAACCTGCTACTTTTGAAGGGAAATACTTTAAAATAGTTAAAGGGTTGAGTTTCTCAGTGTGTGGTGATTATTTTTTTTTTTCAGAAAAAGTTCTGTCTGTGACTTAACTGCTGATTTAAAAAAAAATGAAATCTGTTTTTCTTGGTTTTCTCACTGTCATCTTTTGCCTTTTTGTGTGTCAAAGTACAAAATTGGAGAAGAGGAAAGGAAGAAGAATCAAAAAGGGAGGGATCGCAGAAATGTAAAGTTTTCTCCAAACATTTTGCCTCCCTCAAGTCTTCCAGTTCTTTAAATGAAAATTTGTTTTCTAGAATTATATTTTGGTTTGTTCTGGGGTTTTTTGGTTTTTTTTGTTTTTTTTTTTTAACAGCCGGAGAGAATGATCAGTCTTAAAAGCTTATTAAACAGTAATTTCCAGTTCAATTACAGGCTTCACCTCTTGTTGCTATATGCCTGCGCCCACTGCTGTATAAAATTAAGGGGAGATTGTCTCATTGGGAGACAGGTCATATAATTATTCTAACCTGAATCTCAGAGTGGTTCCTTCCACAGTGAGTCCTGCAAGCAGCAGGCAGAGCATATAACATTATGCAGAGAGGTGAAATGGACATTTTGGATAGATACCTGAAAGCTAATACTGTGAATCACAGCATCCCATCATAAAGTATTGGCATTTTAAATAATGCAGGAAGTGTAGTAACATAATGGAAGTAAATTGTTTGTGGTCTTCCTACAGCTTCATTCTTGCTCGGAAGTGTAGAAGACTGACAGGTCTCACAAAAGAAGAAAGGTAAGTACAAATACTGGAGATCTATGTGGAATCTGAGTCAAAATTTTGTTATAAATGACCAGAGCAGGAAAAAAATGCCCCAGTTTGGAGGAAGTTGTCTGTAACCTTGTAGGCAGGCATGTCACTAAGGAGGAAGATCTCTTACTTGGTTTTGGATGAGGGCCCCACAGAATTCCCACAAACCATCAGCAGATGTGGTAGCTAGCCCCTGCCCTTTAGAAACCTTCTGGTCCCGGTTCTCATTTTCCAGCAGGGTTGCTCTGCTTACGTGACTGTAGCAAAAGAACTGCTCTAAGCTGCTGGATATGAAAGTAGTGTAGACATTCTGCTGCCCTCACTGGAAGGGGTACAGGGCCAGCCTCATCTCCCTGCACTGCTACCTCTCTGGCTTCCTGCAAGTGCACCGACCTCTTTGAAAGCTTCTCAGAAGAGACAGGTTTGGCCACTGTGCTTGATTCCTTCTCCTCGCCCTGCCCCAATCAGCCTGGAGGGTCCTTTCCGTGTCTGTAACTTAGTGCAGCCTTGAAGCTGCTGTAGCTGCCATGAACGAGACCTCAGCACCATGAGGGGGTCAAAAAGCTGCCTCCAGCTCTCCACTGTCACTTAAGGGAAAAAAGTGCCCTTCAGGCACAGATGAAGGTCTTTTTTACTGTCGTCTTGAACCAAATCTCTGCATACAGTAGTGCACTTTGGTTTAGTACTAAAATAGAATTTACAAAGTAATGATTTTTTTCCAGATTCACAGTATCTGATCAAATTAAAGCTACAAGTAGAGGGCGTGAATATGAGAAGAACCTTATTTTGATATGGAGAAAATACATTTGTTTCTAAAGCATGCCACAAGGAGTACTGTGTCCAAGTAAACATTTTTACAGGAAGTCTAACTGGAGAAGATATAGTCATCTCTGATTAGCTTTGCAGGTAGTCTGGCAGTCTGTGGATGATGGGTCTAAATGGGGCTGTTAATGTCCCAGTCTCTTCAAATGATAGCCTGGTACCATAGACTACTTTTAATTTTGGCAGGAATGGACAAGGCAGCCTTTTCCTTAGCACTCAGGCTTTGAGACAGACCCCCAGCAGGTGACTGACAATAAAAGTAGCATAGGTATTCTGAAATCCAGTGTGCCCAGCATTTTAAGCCACCATAAACACTAAATGGTGTCTTATGCTGTGTGTCAATATACTAGATACAACTGAGCATTTGCCGTATTTGAGAACAGCTTCTCTTTCTGTGAAATGAAGGGCTGTCCTGGCTTTTTGCAAGGCACCATGAAGAAAACGTTGCTTTCCCCTGGGCGTTAAAAGCATTAGCACAGTTACCTGACTGCTGCTGCCTACAGCCAAGTTTTAAACAGAAAGATTTTGAACTCTTGTCTTTTGAGGAATAAGCCTTAGACCAGGAAGGACTTTGCTTTGGTAAAGAATGCTTAAGAAATATGGTTGGGCTGGTAGCTGGTAGACGTACCCTGGTGCGGGGGCACCTCTGGCTGCCACAGTCCTGGCCACAGCCAGCCAAGGCAGGAAGCCACTGAGCTGCACTGCAGCTCCTCTCCTGCCCATGAGCACGAGTCTCCTTCCAGTGGAAATTGGGGTCCAGAAGGCAGAGCGTGGACCCGGACCTTCTCCCAGTGTACACTCAGGGCGCGACCAGTTTGCGTCATTTAGATGGGGGCTATGGTGTTTGCAGGGAGGGATCTCTTCTGAGGAAAGGCTTCTTGTGGCACCCTACGGAGGATGCGTCTGGCTGAGGTGCCGTGCTCGCCTACCAACAGAAGCTGGGCTCTCCCTTTATCACACTGATGACAGGGTAAAGTTTTTCCGTAATCCTTGGATATGAAGAGTAGCATGTAGAGTCCGTGGCACCTATCCTAAATCATGTCTGGGAACAGTGGCTGTGGGAGGGGATGGACACTGTTTTACAACCTAAGCCAGACTGAAGGGAGTAAAACTCAGTGCTGCCTTCCAGCTGGTCTTCTTAGGCCAGGTGCCAATGAGTAATTACAGTGGTTAGGTTGTGCCCTACCTTTCACAGCTGTGCGATGAAGGTGATGGCACCGCACGCTGCCGTGGAAGAAAAGGCCAGGGCAAGAGCT